TGACAGTTTGCTGTGTGTACGTGAGGCAGTAGTGTCTATGTGTAGTAGTCACGATGTGTGTTGTGTTACAGTGAGGGACAGTTTGCTGTGTGTACGTGAGGCAGTAGTGTCTATGTGTAGTAGTCACGATGTGTGTTGTGTTACAGTGAGGGACAGTTTGCTGTGTGTACGTGAGGCAGTAGTGTCTATGTGTAGTAGTCACGATGTGTGTTGTGTTACAGTGAGGGACAGTTGGCTGTGTGTACGTGAGGCAGTGGTGTCTATGTGTAGTAGTCAAGGTGTGTGTTGTGTTACAGTGAGGGACAGTTGGCTGTGTGTACGTGAGGCAGTGGTGTCTATGTGTAGTAGTCACGGTGTATGTTGTGTTACAGTGAGGGACAGTTGGCTGTCTACGTGAGGCAGTGGTGTCCGTCTGAATTCAAGATGAAAAGCTTCCAGGAGGTTGTACTGGACAGTTTCGCTGTGGAAGAACTCAAGGCCAAAGTAAGTGACATTTTACTCCCGTCGTACTCCTAACATAGTTCATGTAGCTAAGCCGTGCGGCAGTGACTTAGTCGAGTAGTAATTCTTGACTCATATGGCACACATCGCTAAAAAAACATTAAAATCGCTTTTGGATACTCTGGCTAATTGGTGGCAATTTAGTTACTTACTTTACTAATTAACTGGTTCAACAATTTTAAACTCTTAAATGTGTGTATATATATATATAGATTTAATGCACATAAATATATACAGTGGTAAAGACATGCACCATTTATTTAATATAATTGTGATAATTCTCAAAAACCTTAGTTACTAATCAGTGACAATATAAATGAATAATTAAAAAATAAAAGTAAAATATAAATCCCCCAAAAAAATATTCATACAAAAGTGGCTGATGATGTTGGGTGTTTCGCTGAGATAATCAGACGTGTGTATCTGATGGCTGCAGATATCTGATCTGAGTGGCATCGCGGCGTGTGACGTCAGCTACGCGAAGAGTAGAGGCACGTTTCCCTGTGACATCTCTCTACTGGACGTAGACACGGAGATGGAGTGGAATCCGGACACGCAGCAGCTTAACTACTGGCCACTATTCATCAGCGACGATGGAGCCGTCATATACTACAAGTAAGCTCGCGTGCATGTGTGCGTGCGTGCGTGCGTGTGCGTGCTTGTGCGTGCGTGCGTGTGTGTATGTGCGTGCGTGCTGGGCAGGTGGGAGGGTGCGCTGCGTGCATGTGTCACGTGTGTGTATGTGCGTGCGTGCTGGGCAGGTGGGAGGGTGCGCTGCATGCATGTGTGACGACAAGAGAACAGACGACAAGAAAACAGACGACAAGAGAACGGAAGACAAGACAACGGACGACAAGAAAACGGACGACAAGAGAACAGACGACAGGAGAACAGACAAGAAAGCGGACGAGGGTAAGGCGGGGCGGCCGCGCATGACGACAGCGGAGGCGATGGCGGTCGTTAAGTCCGGCGACTCGTTCATGAAGTCTCCCGGCACAGTAACGAAGACCGCCTCCTCGCTGCTCTCCCGCATCCGCAAGTTCAGCGGCGCGTCGGCGACGGAGGATGCTGCGCGCGTCGTCACCGCCTCCTGGAAGCAGAAGCAGCAGGAAGAGGGCGCCACCGCTGCCCCTGCGGGGTCGCCGAAGCTTCCGACGGGAAAGTCGTCTTGCGGGAAGACGGAGAAACGAGACGGGAAGGCGGGGAAGGATCCCGGGAAGCCTGGACTCCCCCCGCGCCCGTCGGAGAGGAAGAAGTCGTCTGATCTCGAGTCGAAGGGGAAGACGCTTTCTGGGGGAAAGACGGAAGGTGCGGGAGCGGAATCGAGCAAGGACGTTGCCGCGGCGACGGTGACAACGAAGACTGACGTAAAGAGGAAGGTGGCGGGAGCGTCGCCCGATCGTCAGAAACGCTCGTTGCCGAAGCTGGAGGCGCCCCTTGGCGGCAAGGACAAGAAGATCTCATCTAACGCACAGCAGTCCGAAGACAAAACGACGTCTACTGCGCAGCAGGAGAAGAAGGAAGAGGAGAAGAAGGAGAAGGAGAAAGAGAAGGAGAAGGAAGAGGAGAAGAAGGAGAAGGAGAAGAAGGAGAAGGAGAAGAAGGAAGAGGAGAAGAAGGAGAAGGAGAAGAAGGAAGAGGAGGAGGAGAAGAAGAAGGAGAAGAAGGCAAATGAAAAGCCAAATTTGTCTAGTCAGTCAAAACCTCCGGCGGCGCCCCCTGTGGACGCATCGCGAGTCGGCGCATCCGCGGAACTTTCCACGTCGGTCGGCGATGCGGCGGAAAGCAGGAAGACAGAGTCCGGGAAGACTCCGGATAATTCTTCTGCGGATTCCGGAACTCCCAAGAAGAAGGTCGTGAAGAAGAAGAAGGTCAAGACAGCAGAGGAGGACTCTTCCCCCGGGTTGCCGGAATTCGCCGCTGCTGCCACGGTGTCGTCGTCGCCGAAGAAGAAAGTGATTAAAAAGAAGAAACCAAAGACTAGCGAAGCCACTGAGGCGGTTGCCACGACGACTATGACGGATGCGTCGCCGCCGCAGTCCTCTGTCGCGGAGCAGGGTGCTAACGCGGCGCCCCCTGCAGCACCCTCGCCCACAGCGTCGGAATCTGCCGCAGCCACGCAGCGAGACAGTGTGGTGGTGGCGCCGGCAGGGAAACCTGCGGGGGAACCGTCAGGCGGTGCGGCAGCGCCGGAGAAGGCGGTGGCGACGCCCGCGGAACATTCGCCGTCTGGCAGGTTAGAGCAGACGCGGGCGGAGGCTGAGGCACCGGTTGCGAGCGAGAGCGTGCGAGCGCGCGACGCAGCGCACGTAGTCGCCACGGCAACGACAGCGGAGGACACGGAAGCGACGAAGCCTCCAGCCGCGGAGGCTGCGAAGGAGGCACGTGGCGCCCCCTCTCTCGCGGAGATGGCACGTGGCAACCCCTCTCTCTCGGAGACGGCGCATGGCGCCCCCTCTCTCTCGGAGACGGCACGTGGCGCCCCCTCTCTCTCGGAGACGGCACGTGGCGCCCCCTCTCTCTCGGAGACGGCACGTGGCGCCCCCTCTCTCTCGGAGACGGCACGTGGCACCCCCTCTCTCTCGGAGACGGCGCGTGGCGCCCCCTCTCTGCCGTCCGCGCTTCTCAGTGACATTCACGCGGGTGGCGTCCTGCGACCCTGCCACCAGGAGACGCCACGATGCGAGTCTCCCGGCGCGTCGTCGCCGGACGCGGCGGCCAATAGCAGCGCGGACAGCCTGAAGCCGGAATCGCCGAGTCAAGACTCGATGAAGGACCTCTCGAGTCCAGAACCGCCGGTGGAGGAGGAGGCGCGGGGCGACGTGACGGCTGCGGGGAACGTGCCGCCCTCTGTGTCCGCGCTGTCAGATGGAGAACACGACGAGGCGTGTCGGCGATACTTCTATGGAGACGAAAACGTCAACACGCTTACGGGACAGAGAGGTAGGTGGTGCTGCTAGTGGTGCAGAGAGGTAGGTGGTGCTGCTAGTGGTGCAGAGAGGTAGGTGGTGCTGCTAGTGGTGCAGAGAGGTAGGTGGCGCTGCTAGTGGTGCAGAGAGGTAGGTGGGGCCAGTGGGGCAGAGATAGGTAGCGCTGCCGGTGGTGCAGAGAGGTAGGTGGTGCCGGTGATGCAGAGAGGTAGATGGCGCTGCCAGTGGGGTAGAGAGTTAGGTGGCTCTGCTAGCGGGGCAGAGAGGTAGGTGGCGCCAGCGGTGCAGGCGAGTTGGTGGTGCCGGCACGGCAAGAGAGTAGTTATTTTATGATAATATTAGGATAGAAGTAACATACTAGCAGAGTACTACTAGATGTAACATACTAGCTAATACAGAAGAACTATTTATGACTAGAGACATATTATTATTGTTATATATATTATAGACATTATATAGTTTCACCCCAGTTTGTTGTCAAACAACTTCCCCTGAATTTGCCTTACACAGTGGGTGTTTTGGTCCAATTTATACGTTAACAACGACATTACTAAGCTAACTAAAGAGATTACTTATTACTCTGGATTACAATTTTGTCCATCATTAGGATTGGAATAATATTATTGGTAATTTTATTGATTTGTTTTGTGATAATTGTGTTTAACTGTTTTGCAGTTCTAACCGTATACGTGGATAAGAGGATCACAATTGCTGGTCTGAAGCAGAAGCTTGAGCCGTATGTTAAATGTCCCATGGATCACTTCAAGGTATATTACGATTGCACATGACTGTAGTAGCATTATACTAGCATCGTTTGTGCACTTTTTGTAAAGAATATCATATTTTTTAAATCATGGTTAGCATTTTATCATTGTGTAAGTAATTAGGGTAGTATAGTTTTTGTTGGTAATATGGTAGTATAGTTTAGTTGAATCATTGGACTTTTTCTGCACTTACCTAACGAGAGTGAAAACAGCTTATATCATGTCAGACTAGTTTCCCCTTTATGACAATAATCAAATAAAAATAATAATAATAATAATAATGACAATATGTCGTATAGTATTGCTTTACCCAGAGATGAGAATCTCCCACGGATCCGCGGTTTTCCCACTTTCGAAAATTATCAATTTTCCAAATCGTTCAAATCCGTTGAGAAAATTGTAGAGGGGTGGTACTGCCAGCCGCGGACAGTGGTAAAATGTCCCGCGGCTAGTAATGCTCTTACCGTCTCAGCTCCCCATCCCGCGGCCGACAAATGTACTATTCATTCACGCACTGCGCGGATATTGCACGCGCAATGCCAGCGTTCATGAACAAGCTAGTTTTCGAAATTTCTGTGCCTCAGAATGCGTCTGCAAGCGTCTAATTAAAAATAATTTGGACCCCTCCCATTAGTGCTTCGCCCCTGCGGTGCTCGCAATATAGCGCTTTGCGCTATTCTACCAGTAAATAGAAATATATCCCGCGGATTTCGTCCGGGGCCGTTCTCATCTCTGTTAAGCATATCCACATACACCACACTTGTACATATTACATCAAGCGCTAATAGTAATATAGTATGATATTATCTTAGCAGTGGGGTAATTAACATATATTAATATAATAATTAATATATAGTTATAATAAGATGTTAGCAGATGTGGCAGCAGCAGCAGCAGCAGCATTGTCATCCACCTGATTATGTCTGTCTCTCCACACTGTGTAGTATAGTCATCTCCAGGTGTATGTATATTTAGTAAAATTGATATATGTTAGTGTGTATATTGTATATATATAGATATAGTATGTATATATATAAATATATAATATGTAATATATAATAATATATAATATGTATATAATAAAATAATATATATAATATGATGTGTGTGTGTGTGTGCTGTGTTATGTTGTGTGTATATATTATGTGTCGTCGTATATTACTGTGTTTATAATATAAGCAAGTGGACCCCTATAGATACGAATTAAATTTATTAATTATGACGATAATTTTAATTCGTTACCACAGATTTGTTCGAATCTTAAAAAATGCCGTATCTCGAGCCCTATATGGACGTACAGCAGTTTACGTACAGACAGTGCCAGATCATGAAAGCACAGAACCACATTCAATGAGATCACATACTAAGCTTCACTCACCAGAAAGACAGCGGGCTAGGCCTAACCATGATAAAGTGACTAGATTCTTAAAGACGTTCAGTATGCGTGAATTTTATTCGTTTCGAATAAATTACGTTCAAACTGAGTCGTATCGTAATCTCCGAAAAATTCGTAACGATCGAGCCGTTCGTATCTCGGGGTCCACTGTAATAATCTCAGGAGTCTATCATTAAAAAACCATTAGATATTCGATAGGACTCCTGTAATATATATATATATATATATATCATATTATATATGTATAATATTAATATATAATATTATATATATTAAATATATATAATATATATATTGATATATATATTAATAATGTAGATGTGTGTGTGTTTGTATATATGCATATATTTATCAGGAGTAAATGATCACATCTGTAATTTGTAATTCGTGCAGGTGTTTCGCGTCTACAGCAACGGGCAGGAGTTTGAGTGTTCTCGCTACCAGGAGACTCTCGTCTCCTACAGCGACGACAGCAAGCTGAGCATCAAGCTCGGGCGTGCGCTCAAGAAGGGCGAGTACAAGGTGAAGGTCTACCAGCTAGGACCGGCAACGACCGCTGACGTAGGTGGCGCTTGATGATCGAACGGCTACGCGCGTGTAACGCAGGATGTACACCGTATATGCCGGATATAGTACCGGGATGGTACACGTGTATGAGCGCGGAAATGTACGCAGGATCTACCGCGATCAATGCGTGATGTACGCAGTGTAATATACGCGGATGTATACAGACGTGTATATGCGCGAGATCGTACCGTGTATATTGCACGGATTGTATGTGTGTATGTACACGGATGTGTCGGTGTATTAATATCAGAGCAAGCATAAACAGACATGTAATATAGATAGATTATTAGGGCTCATTGATATATATAATATATATATATACATAACATATACTAACCATATACATATATATATAGCATTAATAAATAATTAAAATTAATAACATGCGCTCAAGCCTATATAATATATATATAAATTATCAGTATCAAGTGTAAAAAAAGATTTTGAATATCTTTGAAATCTGTAACATTCTTAGAATTTCTAATTATTAGTAGAGAGAAGAGTAATAGTTACTAGTTTCAGTTGTATAAGTGGTAGTAGGTAGTAACATGTTATGTGTATTATTTTAAAAAATTTCAAAGAGCAAGTTTGATAACGTGTATGGGTAAATACAACTATCAGGTTTCTTTACACAGCACTGATTGCTGCAAGCAGATGTGTGCAGTTTCTTGCCTTGTAGGGTTGCAAGTTCTCAATAGACACGATCTTCGCAAAAAAGGAATGACAGGTCCTCGACTCTAAGAAAGCTCATCTTACCTGAGATCAAAACACAGATGTGCTCTCGAAATACCTCTAAACAGTGCGCCCTCACCCATTCATACAAACAGCTCGACGCAGGAATCGCCGAAAAATGGTCGTCGTTTGTTAGAGCCGTACCACCGCCGATTGCACACTGCTCCTGTCAGCCATGTAAAATTTGTCCACCATCTTGTTCAGGCATTGACTCCATCCAGTTTGGTCAAGAAAATACTGTGAAAGCAAATAGTTTAATATCTCGTATCTGATGTCTGTCTGCCTTCCTGGCTCATCTGTGGTGTTATCATCTAGTCTATTTATCTATCTAATCTATTTATTATCTCCTCTATCTATCTATCTATCATACACATATCTATCTATCTATCTATACTCTCTATCTATCTAATCCACCTATTTATCCATCTAATCTATCTATCCACCCATTATCCATATCCAACTTCCCAAATCCATTCCCAATATTTTACTTTGGCTGTCCCTGCAGTCTCTTCACCGGAACTGCCTCCGAGTTGTGTAATTTTAACCGTGTGGTGTGTTTTGTAATTGTGTGTAATCCAGGTGTCGGCCTGCGTAAGAAGAATTGATAGAACCCCGATCGGTTATACCTAGACTGGCCAGAAGATACGAGGACCACATTCGATCTTCTCCAACTAGGACTCTTCGTCGACAAATTGTATGAGGCCGGACGCGAGAATTAGTCAGTAGGGAGCGGTCGTCGTGCAATACGCGTGATGAACGTACAGGAGTTCGAACACTGCAGCATAGATGGCCAGTGCCGTGGTTAGGGTTAGGGTTAGGGTTAGCGGTTACGGTGTAAGATAAAGTGTAACCCGAATTAAAGTGCTGCTTAATTGTATCCCGCGAAACGAGGTTCGCTATATACGATACATGGCTACAAAAACGATGGGCGTCTCCGCTTACAACCCAATAACAGCACCCTTCATCGCCAATTTTGAAGAGAAAGTTTGACATTTAAAATTTGATTCCATATACTTTGCGACTGAAGCAGACCAAGTTGTCTAACAAAACCTTTTGTCTTTGTGATATTTAACTTTAACCTGATTCTACGATTCCTTACAGCCGATATTCCATTCATACTAGAGTCAAGCGGGGATACATGTAGTTGGGACAAACTGCTCGTTCTAGTTAAAATTTCATTTACAATGTTTTCCTCAGTCTGTACGTGCATATTAATATACATCGCGTTTAACACTATCTCTCGGTGATATACTTTCGGTGAGTAGTCAGCTTAACAGTCCTGCATGCTTTCTGAGCCTATGTTATAATCGCGCATGTGTCGGAATGTGACGCGTGTGTGTTGTGTTAACGATGGAGGGCTAAGTTGGCTGTGTGTAACGTGTAGTAGTCATGTGTGTATTTGTTTACCAGTAGGGTACAGTTTTGCTGTGTGTACGCTGAGGCAGTGGTGTCTATGTGTAGTAGTCACGATGTGTGTTGTGTTACGTGAGGGACAGTTTGCTGTTGTAACGTGAGGCAGTATGTCTATGTTAGTATCACGATGTGTGTTGTGTTACTGAAGGGACAGTTTAGCTGTGTGTACGTCGAGGCACGTAGTGTCTATGTGCTCGGATGGTGCACGGCCATTGTGTGTTTACAGTGCGGGACCAGTTGGCTGCTGTGTAGTGAGGCAGTAGTGTCTATGTGTAGTAGTCACGACTGTGTGTTGTGTTATGCAGTGCAGGACAGTTGGCTGTGTGTACGTGGAGGCCAGTAGTGTCTATGTGTAGTAGTCAAGGTGTGTGTATGTGTTATCAGTGAGGGACAATTGGCATGTGTGATAACGTGTAGGAGTGTGTCTATTGTCGGTTGTAATACACGGTGTA